GCGGGTCAGGCTCAGCACAGAAACCGGGGGGAGCTGGCCGGGAGCGGCGGGTCGCTGCGCGGCACCAGTCAGCGGGTGGGGAGCAGCTGCACCTTGCATCGCTCGTCTTGTCTGGGGGTTTATTCCTCTCTCTTTTTGTTATAGTCCTTTTCATTACTACCGTTATATTTTTATTATTATTGTCATTGTTCTATTTTATTTTAGTTATTAAACTGCTCTTATCTCAAGCCACGAGATTTACTTTTTTTCCGATTCTCCTCCCCGTCCCACTGCGGGGGGCGGGGGGGGAGGAGGAGTGAACGAGCAGCTGCCTGGTGTTTAGTTGCTGTCTGGGGTTAAACCATGACACGGCCCGTTTTGTTCTGAATGCAGAGGAGTGGTTAGTAGTTAAGGAAGAATGATAGGACTGAGCAAGCTGACGAACCAAACAGCTGCAAATACGTACGGAAGGAAGTGGAGTAAAACACAGCAAGTATCAAATGATTTTGTTAGAAATGCCTAGACAACATTTTAACAATGAAGCTAACCTTCAACAAGAACTAGTCTTACTGCACTTGTACATTTGGTCTACCAAACAGAAGAAAAAATGTATGGTGCAACACCTATGACTACTTGACATGAGTCTCCAGTAAGAAAAAGCAAACGCTGACAGAAAAGCAACAGCAAACTCTTTAAGGCATCAAGAAACCCCAAAAGTCCAAAGAGTGATGAAGAGGATCAAGCACCAGTATTTAAAGGTCTTAAGAACATCACACAATGCAGATCCTTACCCCAATGCCTTCTTAGCATGATTTTAAGACTCTTCTCCCCCTATTCCCACTCACCTTGTTTTGCTTTAGGAGGTACAGGCATATTAGTGAACTCATTCATTAAACGAACACTGAAACAGAATGGAAGGAACAGCTAGACATGAGCAGCAAGTTAAGACTTGGAAGGACAAATAATAAAATTAGATCATTGTCATTACTGACTGCCAAAAAAAAAAACCCCACATTGAAGAATATCATACTGCAATCTGAGTGAAGTTCAGACATAAAAATTAACCTGGCCATTGCTAACGAAACCAAGGCGTTAGGTTAGTTTTTGCAGCTCTCACGATTCACTTTTGTGAATTAATCAGTATTTAAAACTGATACTCCTCAGGCAACAGGACGTATATTCCTTGACCAGTCAAGCAATTCTAAAACAACAAGTTCATTGTAAAAGCCATGTATCACCAAAAAAAAACCGTACAAAAGAGACTCCTGGATACACATCAACTTTCAACAACTGCAGTAAACTATACTTTGTTACATATTTCTCAATAAACTGAGTCAGATCACAGATTTTTTTACTTTTTTTTTAACAAGCTACTTACAAACTGTCTATCATTGGTGTTGAGGTACACGGCCGCTGCGATTTTGAATACATTGGAATGGACTTCATTAAATGATACATTGGAGGGCAAGCAACCAAGGCTTGCAGGGTCTATGCAGTGGCATTAAGGAAACATTCAGAAAATGTAATCTACATATCAACCAAACACTCAATTATATTTACAACTCTATGCAAAATAAAGCTAACTCTTTATTATGTTGACCAATCCAATAACTAAATTGGAGCAGATGCATGGACTTTTATCACAACATTAACTAATAAAGTACAGAAGTCATACTAAAAAACCCCAGCATCTTGTAACACGCAGTGATTTCAGTGACATTTTAATAATGCCAAAAACTTTCATAAAAGGGGAAGGAAACATTTAGTCTAGGAGCAGGAGAGGAAAGGAACTTTCATAGGAAAGACTTTATAAAAGTAACAGTTTGAAAACTGGCAAGTGATCACTTGTAACACGTGTTCTGAAAAGAACGGAAGAAGCCAGCAGACAGACTTCAAGTTAAAGAAGTTGATGATTCACCCTCACAACCAACCCAACCCAACCAAACCTGCTGTGCTGTGAAACATTCTGCTGTGTAAAAAAAAAGGGTTTGAAGCAACCAGCAAAACTACAGTGTACGTTGGGAGAAAGTAATTTAAAAACATCAAAATCCGTGTTACTTGGCAAGAACAGTGAACGGAGGAAACGCATCAGATGACTGGAGCGGCAGGGAAAGGACAAAACGGGCAGCGATCTCATCAGCTGGAGAGACTTATTAACTTGATCCCTACAGCGGGCAAAAATTGAGTAACAAATTCCCAAGTAACACTTTAAGAGTGAAAACATGGGAGCTAATACATACAATCAGATGAGTGCAGAACCCGTTCTGTTAGACAAAAGCTGAAGTTTAAAGCGCAACTGCTGGTCTCGAAATAGCTTATTAGGTTCTGCAATGATCAGTCCTGAAATTAGTCTTAATATTTTTCACTTGCAGTACCAGCAGTTAAAGTACCCTAATTGTCAACTGCAGTGAGCCATTGCTAACATAGGAGATACAGATACCTTTATTAAAAAAAATTAATAGATCTATCATAATACAGCACTGAAGAAGGAAGATTTCTGTTACCCAAGGTAAAAGTCAGGTTTGCAGGGGAACACAATTCTAATACATGAAGAGCAAGCTAACCTTCCACCGTGTTGTAACAGGATTATTTTAAACACTGCATTTACACAGATGGTATGATAGCAACAGCCTGCTCAACAGAAACCCAAACGATCCACTTACCAAATTGCCAAAATAAACCCTAAGAGTAAGAATAGAATAATCACTTCGAGTACAAAAGAGTAATAACCACTTGAACTGATGCACAAAGAGTCATGAGTAACCATAACTAGAAATTACAGGAAGGTTTTCAGTCACAAGAAAGGTAGTACAGTTCTGAAATATTTTGACAGAGGTAACAGAGACAAATTGCAAACAGGATTGTGCAAACAACTGCATGGGAACCCTGGACACAAGGTTCAGTGACCCAAAATACCCCAGGATTTCTAGATGCTACCCTTAAACATTTTAACCACAGTAGCAGGATATGGGAAGACAAAGACTTTTATAAAATACTCACCAGAATATTCCAGAAAAACTCTGATAGATATAATATATAAATTTTAACTTAAGTGTATTATTTTTTCCCAAGATAAGGATACAGCATTGATGTAGCACCAGTTTCCTTTGTTGATCAGCCCTCGCGGTTGCAAAGACACTGGTTTATGTATTAGTCTTACATTTTCCAGTATTTCTGCAGAACGAGAAACAGTAAATTAAGCATCAACAAAATGCACATACTGGCCAGCAAAACAAGTATCTGCTGATGCACTACAAAACAATTCAAATCAATTAACAAGATTCCCAGAAATTTTAGCAGGTAATTTTCACTCCGTTTAAACACTGCTCATCTTTCAAATCAGACATACCATTCAACCAAAGACATCCTGGAATCTGGGTCAGGAGGATTCTGGTACGAAAACTAATCATTGTAATTTCAAAACTGAGAAGACCTACTGATTTCTGTTTTCCTAAAGTCAGATACTTTTATTTATATAGATACCTATATAGCTATGAAATCCCATTAGCTGTAATCCCTTGCCACCGGTTCCATGAAGTACTTCCCACATTCTTCTGCTTTGAAGAGAGATGAAACTGAGACAGCAGTCTAAGTTTACAAGTTTCAACATCCTCGATCTTACAACAACAATAGCTTAGTGCAAGCAGGACAGAGAGATGTTAACGTGGTCTTCTGAACAGTATGTTTTATTTACTGGTTTAAGACTTCCAAAGCCTACAAGATAACAGGCTTACTACATAATACAATGCCTCCTGTTTTCCTGCTCCCAAAAACTTCAGCAATGGCCCAAGTTTAAAAACTAGAAACCATGGCACATAAGTAAGTCTGTCCCAGTTATGAAACTGAGAGCAACAGGGAAAGTTTTTCCAGGAAGTCTGACCTGTTATTTAGGTACCTAAATAAACACTGTTTAAGGAAAATAGTGGATCTGGTATATTTTAAATTGCAAAATAAGGAAGAGAGGTATACAACACAGAATAAAAAATGCAAATAAACACAGAAATTGTCTACCAAGGGGGTTACTCATTTATGTAATAAATGTGAAGGCCTCTAAAGCCCTTACATTCTACACTGCATAAATGTAAAGAGTTTGAGCTGTTCACTAGGACTATCGAAACAGACAAGGCAACACCCATTGGTGGAAAAGCAGAGGCACAGAGCCGTAACTAAGCAGAGGAGGTGGCAGATTTGCGAACAAAATCCATGTCCTTCTAGTTCCAAACTATCTCTTTACCTATAAGATCATACTTCCTTCTGACACCACCAGTTCTAACCAAATGAAAACATGCCAAAAAAATAGAAAATATATAAATCAGACTTCTATTACATAAAGAACCTGACACCCAAAAGGGCAGATAGCAAAAAGATGTGAAAGGGAAGATATCAGCACCTAGCACAGATGCAGATGAAAATTCTTCTGTGAGTGTTAAAATGTATTTGTTATTAAATTATTAATGTGCAACTATTTCAGAATATACTGTTAAAGCAGCAAAGTTTGAAATGTGCACACGTACAACTCTTCTGTTAATATAACTAAGCACTATGGAAATTAGGATAAGAATAATAAACCTATTTATTTTTAATAGCTATCCGTAACTTTCTACGAGCACTATGGAAATTAGGATAAGAATAATAAAGAAACCTATTTATTTTTAATAACTATCCGTAACTTTCTACATTAACTGTATTTTTCCCCATTTTTGTATCATACTAAATACAAATATTATGAGGACCTTTAGCATCCTCTTGTGGTCATAGAACTGCTTTGTAAACAACGTCTAGAGCAATTACAATGAGTTTTGTTTCTTTTAACATAAAGAGTTATTTTTCTGTACAGCAATTACATTCAATACCATATTTTCACCTCACATCTCACATTTACACAGTAACTAAAAGAACTTCTACAAGAGTATCAGAAGAAAAATACACTTACAACCATGAGAAAACCTTAAATTTTCAAAACCTGTTATAAAGCCCACATGACTAACCAGAAACAATTCACATTCCCTTTGGTGAATTTGGACCTGTAAAACGTGGCCTTCATTCAAAAACATATCTAGAACAATATTACCATGTTCAGAAGTTTCTGTCAGTAAACAGAAAACATTTTGCTACAGTTCATTCACCAGGTGTGAGTTATAACAAATACCTGTCACATTACCAAAAAAAATGGTAATTCCCTAATCAACACAAATCCCAAGTCTACTGAAAGAAAAACCATACGGATACAGTCTCCACACTGAAGAGAGACGGGCCGCAAGCCACAAGTTAGCACTTTAACACTGAGCTCGAGACCATTATTTGGCAAATACTATGTATGTCACTCAGCTCTTTCTTCAAATCTGTACATTAATAAAGAATGCTGGGACAATTCTGCTGGACAACCCTACAGAAAACCAGTTTCTCCAAGAATGCAGTTTGGTAGCACAACCAGCTAAATTTCTGAAGTTATTCATAAACCCCAAACCTTGTACGTCTCCATTCCACAACTACTTGCTCTTGTGCTTACCAAGCTTTATCAGCAAGTGAAACACCTTTCCTACAAATTAAACTAAGTAATTTCTTGTCTGGTTCACTACAGTCTTGGGAGAGCAGTGAACCACCATCATCTTTATGGAATTGTTTTACATATTTGACGTTACATCCACGATCACTCCAACAATCTCATTGGAGACAAAGTAAATCCAAATTTTCCAGGCTTGCCAAAAGAGTACGGTTTTCAAATCTTACTTCTGTTTTCGCTGCTGCACTATTGCATCTTCCTTGAAAAGTAATGCCCAAAGATGGGCACTTTCATCAAGTCCTCAACAGCAACAAAAGAATTATAATTATCTTCCAGCTTTTCCACGTAAAATGGAATTAACACACACTGGAAAAAAACCTTTGTCTTCTTCTGTTTCACAAAGGACTCTTATCAACTGCCTAGAACTTACAGATCCTTTTAGCATCCAACACAGCTACCAGCCATTTATGCTACGTACTGCACATGCTTGTATTTGATTTCTGTTCTGGTATGTCCTTCCATACTTGCATTTATCAGATTCCCCTCCTTCTAACTTGAAATCACTCCAGATTTAGTCAGATCTTAAATGTTTGTGTTCTTCAACTCATTTGAAATTCTGCCTGCTGTAAACAAATTTTACATGCACTGTGAATTCCATCATCCACAACGAAAACACTGCAAGAAGATGATTCAGAAAATCTTTTTAGATTCTCCCACTGAAATTTTTCCTGAAGCTACCAAGAACAGCTAAAAGACTACTCAGAATAGTTTTCCAATCACTTATCTCCTTAACTTACACAGAACATTGTATAAGGCATTATAAAGTACCACTGGGTTATGCATCAGAGGATAATGACTGTGAAATTTGACAGAACTCCGAAGCCTGACACTCTTATTTTTTACAAACATGGACAACTTATAACCTTATTAACCATTAGGACAAATTATTAAAATGTTTGTCCTAGCATCTAAATTAGGCCAAGGTGTATAATTAGTACAGTTGTCCCTTTCTAAATATGCAAGTGCTGTACCTGTACTTCTCTACAGCTCTGCTGTCACCTGCCTTGACTTTCGCCAAATAAACATCACCGGTTCATAGTTTGCTTCTGAAGTTCCTTTAAGTTGTTCACTAGTGTTGCCAGTAAAGCTTCTCACCACATGCCTTAGCCAGTTGCTTCAAGTGGTCCCAACTGGTGCTCCCCAGGGCTCAGTATCAGGGCCAGTTCTGGTTACTATCTTTATCAATGATGTGGACAAGGTGATCAAGTGCACCCTCAGTGAGT